TACACGCAAATTCGATTTTACCCCGTTCGCTCGATTGCTTAACATAGTTGCAGCATCACGTCTGCGAGTATTTATACTATATCTCATTGGCGAAGTGGTACATCAATTCAGTACCAACGACATACGCGATGTTTCGTTAACGATAAACGTTATTGGCCAATAGTGATTTAGTGGCGGTCGGTGAAAATGCATTCCTATTAAAGAATGATTGACATAACTGACGTTTATACAGCCTTTTACCTATGACGTACGACAGTACGTCGTAACGGTTGCTATATTAACTGCTTTCCTCAAGAAGCTATAATTTACGTATCGCGCGATGCACCGTCTTGATGCACCGTACGTGTATTAACCCCCTTCACACTTTGATCATTTTGTTTGATTTCTTGCTGATAGCAATGCATTTTCTTATACATGCGCTTACGGCGGAATATCACTTGACATTCTAATTTTTTAATTTTCTTTATTTATAGTATAATAAAAGAAATGAAAAATCTTCTTTTATAACAGTGTTACTTCAATATTAATTTATTGCACGTAATATTGCATTTACTTCAATATTAACTTTTCATATTCTGAGATTTTATCATTAACTTTCTATTCCTACAGTAGTTGTGTATGTTATACATATGTATACTTGCATATAATATAAAAGAATCATATATATAATTATGTAAACTTTTCTTTTGATAACAAAAATTTAAAGATATTCTAAAAAAATGTCCTATATGCATGTATATCGTACAATCTATTATTGTAACTGAATGCTACATGTAAAAAAAGATTATCTAAAGATTTTTCTCGATACAAGGAGAATTTTCTCTTAAAATTTATCCTAAAAATCATCGTAATCAATCATAGGACAATATGATATTGAAAGAATTTTATAAGAATTTCTCTCATTAATAGGTATTTACCATAATAAAAAATATTAATATCCACCACAATAAGATACAAAGTAGGTTCGATTAATTTCACTATACGTACGTAGTAAAATGTACATATTAATATTTTTTATCGCGGTAAATATCAAAGAAACTATTATAAAATTCTTTCAATAGGTATCATATTGTCCCAAAATTACCATGATTTATCATAGGATAAATTCTAAGGGAAAACTCTCTCCGTGTATAGTGTGTAGAAATATAATGCGGTAATGAATAAGCCATGCAAACAATTTTACATATGATTCAAAGATTTTTATTTTGAATTTCACTACGTGTGTGAAAACGATTCTCGGAAAAGAGATTCGCGAAAAATTGCGTGAACGTAAATACGCAAAACCGACAAAACGATGTCATACATTCGCGGCGGGTTAAAAATCACGACACTTCCGGTTTACGTTCGCCATTTCATGACCGTCATCCCTCGTCGAGACACGAGAGCGCGGCGTTCCTATGTTATATTACTACCGCATATTTATGCGCGCGTAAAAAAATACACGCGCGGATAACGCGCTAATACACGCGACCCTTCGACCATTCCATGTGTGCCGCGCCCCTATGATGCATCATGCGCTTTTACGTGGGGAAGTGCCTTTTTAAAACGACCGCGTACGTTGAAAACAAACCCTGATGTTTTTTTTTATTTTCAAAATTATCAATGATTTTTTATGACCCTTGATACCGTTTAGACTTTGTTTCATAACTTTTCACATTACATATCCATTTTATACGGGTGCAATTTTGGTGACGCCATATGAGAATTGCAAATTCCGGAACGTAATTAAAAACAGCAATAACAATATAAAAACGTAAAATAAAACACAGCGAGAAAAAAGTAATTGTATTAGTATGATATTTTCCGAATATGCACGATGGTTCATCAGAATTACTATAATATCTATAGATACGTATAAAAAAAAATCAATCTCTTGTTCTATATTATTTTTGTATGTAACGTCTCCAATTATATCTGATTTGTTTCGTGTAATATCCCGATATAAAAATCGATATGAAATCAATTGATAGATATAGAAAAATATAGAGTTACGCGCATATTATTCTTTCTTTATTCGTCATACATATTATACATGAATTCTTCCGCGGTTCGCGGATAATAAGTTCGATTTGCATCTTTGACAAAACTGCAACTGTGCGATGCTACCGTAGGCACGGACGAGAGAGAGAGAGACAAAGAATGACAGGGGAATGAGAACGGAGGGAGAACGTGGGTGCACGGAAATACAGATATTTGCCAGGAAATTGATAACTCGAATAAACTCGTCGCAAAACATTCAAACAGGCTGCCAAACGGTACGATTGCACACTCCAACCCCCGGCTGCGAGCCAAACACCGCATATCCCTCCCTCGATAGAACGGCTGTACATACGTCCGCGGGAGTGATGCGAGCACGAGCGATACAATACGCATATTACTTGTCCACCTGTATTCTCCGCACCGACGAACTGATTACGAACGGATTTGCTGGACGATTTTATTTCATTTTGTAGTCGAAAGTTGTCAGCCGATCGAACTGTGATTATTACTAAACAGCGATTACTAATAAATAGGGAATCGCGATTACAGTAATTGTCGTATATAATAATCAGATGAAGGTGTAAAAATACTTTGTACACATTTTCAGAGACAAGAGAAAATAATATCTATTATGAAAAAGATTATGATTTCTTTTATCTTTAATAACTGTTCTCAATAATCGTCACAATATTGAAATTGTTGAAAGTATCATAGATAGGTATATGCTGACTCATAGAAATCTACCTGGCATATCTTCCTACTGATAATAAAATTCAGAAACGATAATCATTATTGAAACAATGATAGTCGATTATAGCAACTTGTGGATGCAGTCAAACACACGCGCGTTACAAACGCGAGTCAATATTAACTCGATATTTTTGCCGCGCCATTAGAGTCAAATAAACGCAATGTAAATTGCGCGATACAGTCGCGTATGGTTATTTGCCATAAATAGCGATGAAGCACGAGCGCGAGCGTATGTCAATCGCGTCTCACGTTCACGAAGCCGCTCAAAAAGGGCGCGAGTGTGTAATGAAAATACCGCACTATGTGGAGTATAAAATAGGTATGCGCGCGGCCAATTCGCATAATAGCGTCGACATTCGAGATATCAAACAATATGTTAATAATGTATCCGCGGCACCGATTCGCGGTGGCAATAAATAGTAAAGGGAAAAGGACTTCAAAAGAAATTCGATTCGATTGGAAATATTTTATCTATTTACACTGACAAAATTTGTTAACTTGACTAAACCTTTAATTCAACTAAATATTACTTGTTTGTTAATTGAACATATAAAAATACTTTAATTAAATCTAACAAAACGTACATTTGACTTCGATACTGATGTATGTTCAATTAACAAAATAGTAATTTAGTTGAAAAGTTTAGTCAAGTTAACAACATTTTTTAGTGTATAGATGAAATAATGCAGCACAGAAGCGACTATAACTTTTTTTAAAACATTTATAAAGGTACACTTGTTTTCACCAGTAAGAACAAATCTGTATATCCGAGATGTGAACACAATAATTTTCGCAATTAGCGAGAAATTTTTCGCAATAACTGTTTCCTGTTGCGCGACGCAATAAGGTGTATATCGCCACAAAGTCGGTATCGACTAATTAGCAACGTGCTAACGTCTCCGCGTCGAGGGAAACGCGAAAATAAAAAAAAAAGGGAAAAACGGAGCCAAAGGGAGAGATTCTCCGTGTGTCTCCAACCCCTTTTCTCTTTCGCAATCAAACGAAAATTAGCCGCTGAAAAGAGAGCGAACTGACCATCGTGCGCTTTTTCGCCGACGGTTAATTTGCACAGAGAGAAGCCAGAAATGTATAAAATTTCATCACGAAGATGCTTGGTTCGCGACCCGATTCTTTTTATCTTAAAAGGAAGGAAGGAAGGAAGAAAAAATATATATATCCTATTATATATTATGTCATTTCTCATAAAAATGAGAACCAGAAAATAATTCCAAATTCATAGCTTGCATGGTAAGAAATATATTAATCATTTTAATCAAGATTATAAAAAATACTTATAATAAGTATGCCTGTAATAATTATTTCGTTTCATATATCGAATACTCCACGCGACATAAAGAATTCACATTATTTAAATAATAGTTTATCCGCTATTCTAAATCCAGATGAAGAATATGGGAAAAAGTAGGCGACGGCGTCGCCGCTAAGGGAAAAATGGATGGCTCTATCTTTCAGTAATTAAGATAGCCAAGAAAAATAAACAAATGCGCGGCAGAAAGAGCAAATGAGAGAAAGAAAGAGGGTGGTCTCTTTCCGCGCGTTTTCCGGACTGTCCGTGGTGCAGCTGTTACGTCGCCAGGGGCTCAAATAAACGACTTAGGTAGATTAAGCATACAAATCTCGACGACTCGGCTCGTCGTATAATCGGCCTTAACCCGTCTGTATGTCGGGGTCAACTGGAAAAATATACGGGGTGTCTACCCCGGTTGCCGGCAATTCGAGAAAGATTGCAATATGTTCAAGAATATGGTGCGTGTTTCTTTCGCTTATCTCCTAAGATATATACTTACTCGACGTATGTTTCGAAAGTTTTGGATACATTGTAGTTTATTCAGCGGGTCAAATGTTATGATAAAAATCCGTGTAATTATAGATATATATATCTTTGAAATTATGTCAATAAAGATATTTAATCTAAGTATCTCGGAAAGAATATTCTCAGATTTTCTCACAATGATATTTCGTTAATTTATTAACGCAAAGAATAGTGCCGTGCATAATGAATACTGATATTAAATACTAATATTAAAAATGAATGCATGAACCGAAAAATGATCGATAGAAATCAAATTTTACGCACAAGATAGCAAGTGAAAATCATATGTAATAAATATATATCAAAAATTGACGTGAATGAAAAATCGTTATAATATACCTCGGATTACATAAAGCTAATATCGTAATGTATCGATCATTACTCGTTCGAGAAAAGCAAAAAAAAGGCATGCATAAGGGTGACACGCAGCACTCACGTCTGTACGGTCGTCCCTCCTCCGGGGTGGATCGCTCGGTGTTCTCGGATCCGGGTGTGGCGTTGGCGTCACGGTCCTCTTCATCGGGAGTCGCACCGCGATTCGGCACGGAACCGGTACCGGTGGTACCAGTTGGTGAGCGGCTCGCGGAACCAGCCGGACTCTGCGGCCCGCCGACTTCCTGGCCGGCCGCGGCGACGGCGGCGGCCGCGGCGGCCGCCGCACCGGAAACGGACACCACCGCGCCCCCGCCCGCGCCCGGCAGGGACGTGGGTGAAAACATATTCGACATGCTGGAGAGCGAGCCGATGCTGGGCAGGCCGCCGTTTCCCGGCACCGCGCCGTTCCCGGTCTCGACCTTGAGGCACTTGCTGGGGGGCGCGAACGCGGACGGCACCAGGGGCCGAAAGCCGCCGAAGGGTAGTCTATGGTCGAGCGGGTGCAGGAACTGCGGTGGCAAATGCAGCATGTGATGCAGCCCGTAGCCCAGCGACGCCGCCGTGCTGAAGGGCACCTGCAGATCCTTCGAATCGGTTACCTGAAACAAGCGCGAGGAAACCAACATTAGGAATTAACCAAACAAACTAATATTTCTGAATCACGAGAGTGTTGTAAGGATTAGTGAAAGAAGATAAATAGATTTTATAAAGCGAGAAGACGCAAGCATTTTTCTTAGTTATAATTCTTTCCTAATTAATATTTGTAGAATATTGGGGTGAATCGATAAAAGGTAGGTATAGCTGTAATATGTGGAGAGTAAAGTTAATCTAAATAAATTATATATTCAACTATTTTTAAATTATAAAATAATTAGAGAAAGATTTAGATAACACTTACTTATTGAGATAATTTCTATTAAATATTTCATATACAAATATTAATAAGATATATATATGTACTTAAATTTTATAAATGGTGCTTCATATTTAATCACATGCAAGATATTTCTTATCTTTCTCGTTCATTATTAAATTTTATAATCGATCATCAATTACAAGCTTTTTTGTGTCTCTCTTTAATATCTAATTTCCTATTAATTTTACTGGCACACTGACATTTGCAGAAGCACTTTTGACGTTCACTCCCGCTTCCCGAGAAACTATGCTCATATTATCGAGTTCGATAGTACAAGTTTATACCGTATGCGCGATGAGCGGAAAAATGTTTGAATCGCGTAACTAGATAGCTCATTTGCAGCATGTGGGTATTTCCGTGCTTTCAGCTACATCTGAATGGCATATAATATCAAAGCAACGTGGCGGTATACTGTTAATAACGCAAAACCACCGTGTTATAATAATCCGTCAAAACCTGAAGCTCTTCTCCCTCCACCCTTCCATCTCATGACTCCCCTTTACATCCCGGTATGTCGGTTGTATCATTCAATTCGCCGTGATTGACGAGTCTATTAAGCCGCATACTGAATGCTCGGTTGAAGCATCTACGTATTGGGTTTTGTAACATTTATAATGTCAGAATTATCGGACCGTTATTAAATGTAGCCGAAGTAATAACGGCACATTGTTCTGTGCATCGACTTCTCGGGAAACGATGTGAGTGTTTTAACTATTGGTACGAGTACATATATCACGAAGTAACATAATATATTTCATCAGGTATCTAGAAAATTATTTTTCAAAATTATCGTAAAATCAATTTTGCAGTGCATTTTCTAAAAATTTAACAGATTTGGTTTCAAAAGTAAGTTTATTCACTCGTTTATTTTCGGTCTTTCGGAATTTCACTGCACAATCGTGTTTTAAATCATGAATTTTTTTTGAGCAAAACAAGATTAATTTTTTTCTCAATACAAACATTAGACACAGCTATGCAGTAAGTTTGCATAAGATTGTCACAAATTTATTTAAACGCAAAGTGTGAAACACTACTGGTCAGCATAAACCGCGCGACTATAAGGGAACGAAACGGAAGTATGAAATGATTTTCATCGGCCAGAACGGACAGCCCGCAGTTTCCGGATAAACATTTCATTCGGCCGATAATGACGCGGGCGATGAGTTACACGCGCGGGTATTAGTACGCGCCGCGATTAGTTTATTATTCTTTTATACAGGGAAATGAGGTTCGCGTTCGCCGACCCGACATATATGCGCCCGTGGTCCAATCAGTGATTTATTAGATATTCATTATTATTTTAATTGCGGCCCCTGCCCTTTTTTCGCGACCCGACGCGACGCGCGCCGCTTGCATATTTGCAATAATCTTTTATCATTTTTTTTTGCTCGCGCGCGCCCACGGACGGCAAAACACGAGCTATATTTTGTCACCGTGCCATCGCAATTAGGTTCGCCCCAAAATTATCTCATTTTTTAACGATGCTGAATTTTGATGCAACCAGTTATCTCGCTGTCCTCCTCGTTCTACTGCTTTCTATGCCGTATCTACCGTTCCGCATCTGCACGTGTTTTATCCGGACCCCGATTGATGTTCCGCACGTATAAAAAATATTCAAGCGTTTAAAAACACTGTGGAATACGCTTATAATTAACCGCGATGCCCATTCGTTAAATGTTTGCGGCAATCACAGTTATGAGATATAGATGTGTGTGATATATAAAATCGTAAAAGAATTTTGTTATTATCGGGGAGTTTAATAATGATATTTCCTGTAATTCGTTATCGATACGTTTTCGATTGTAGTATATAAAATTTATTTTAAAATTACTTGCAAAGAAGTTAATCTGATTTCATATTTTTATATATAATACTTTAATAGAATACTATTGTATCATTTTTATTAATAATTAATTCTCCTAAAATTAATAAATATTTCACAATTATATTTTGCAAAAACAATATGGCTAATTTTAGTTGTATATTCTGTATCGCTGCTTTCAAACACCGATGAAAATACTTACTGTTTTTCTAAATATAAATTTTATTTTTTATCACTAATGCTGATCATATATTATACAATAAAATCGTAATGTACAATCTACATATTTTTCTTCATTATCATAAAATAGAATATATTTAACAAATAAAAGCAATCATATTTAATGAATTATAAGTCTACAATTTGAATTTATCTTTCTTGATTAGATTTTTTTCACTTTTTATAATTGTTATTTTTAAATAATAAACTCTTCTTAAAAATAATAATTACTTCTTAAAGACAAATTCAAAAAAGAGATTCGACAGAAGATTGCACATTACTGATTTAATATTATCTGTTAACATTATATCAAATATTCACATTTATACATGTATTATATATGTACAACTAAATTTCTATTTATTGCACATATTAATTAGTATTCGCATGCAAAAGCGACAGACATGCAAAGCAGAATAGAGATATTAATTTGAGTTATTCGATGCGTTTGTTGAAATCAGTTGAAATCTAGCAATTATTTTTTTATTTTATATATATTTTTCAAGAGTGTTGTTTTTCTGAAAAAAATATACACATATATATATATATGTGTGTATTGACGTGCGTGTTCGCGTCAAATATGATACGCTTGAATTACCGCAGTATAGTTTCGTTGCATACAAGCGATATAAGCGTGAAAATAATTTTATCCTTTACATTCTCCGATAAATTCTTATCAACTACTTAATAATTATACGGGTTCGAATAATTTTTTCAGTAATTTAATTATGCAATTCTACGCGTTGGCGTAATTTTATGATATAATAAATATTATATTGGATATAACGCGGAATCATACATTCAATTTAAATTGAAATGAATGAATATTTAGATGATCATATTCATAGCACACATAATCATGTTTTCTTACTCACAAGAACATAAAATTTTTTTAGAGCACAAGAAACTCAAAATGCATATCTGAAAGGGTTAAGTCGCCTTTCAATGCGTTACAGGTTAACAAAATGCAATGTAAGCGCAAGTATAAGTGCAAGCTGATGCGGAAGTTTAGGCGTAAGGGTAAGGGACAATGGGACACTAACTTGTGGATTGAAGGGTCTTTGCATTCTCAGGGCCTCAGGCAGCCCTCCGGCCTGAGAGAATACGACCAGAGACGGCGGCGGTAGGTGATTCGGTACATATGCAGAATTATCCATCTAAAACATATATCGTCGTTTTCTTCCTTCTACGTGTGTCTCATCGATTAATCGTTTCCCTATTCTAAATATTCGATCGATATCGACGCAAGAAACCCGAAGAGAATTTCGTATAAATTAAATCCCGTCTCAGAAACATATGAAATACGCAAAAAACGATAATCGATAAACGATGACACTTTATCGATCGTATTTATATCGGCTAATTAATGATTATTATTGATTAATAATTGGATTTATAAATTAATCATTGATTGAACTATTCGCGATTTATGGTGGTAGATATGATTATGAATAGATTATCTGACGTGTGCGATTTACTTTTATGCTTCTCGATGGATGAATTTTTTTTTCTTTAATTTTTATTTTCATTTTTTAAATTTAATATATGTACATTTTTTTATAAATTTGATGTGCATATGACTATTTTCTCAAGGTATTCAACAGAAAATTCAATATATCTTCAAAAGCTTATTAAATGCATCTCTTTTGTTTGACCTTTTGCCTATTAACATATTGATAATTATTAAATTATATTAATTTCTGATAAAATACATATTAAAAATATTAATATTTGTTTATTTGCAAAGTTTTAATAAAATCGTGTACTTTATATGTAATATTAACATATATTGTACTATTTATTATCTTGTTTTATTTTCAAAAGAATAATATTTTATTTTTAAAGAATAATACACATAAGCGAGTTTGATATAGATAAATTTGCTTTCTTATAAACTTCTCTAAACTTGTTAATGTTTTACTTGTCTTTTTTTATGATTTTTTTAAATGTTTTGTCGAAAATGCAATAATACGAATTTTATAATTTAAATGTAAAATCAGTAACAGAAATCATCGATCGAGAAGTAAATTCGAAAGATTAGCTCGCTCATCAATGAGAATTACGTCGTGGCACATTAATTACATTGATGAGAATTACGTGTTTCCTCTGAGAGCAAAATGTAATTATAATCTTATTTGATTTCACTTTACAATGAAAACAATTCAATTAAATGTGAAATAGCAAAGTAAAATCAATAATAATTAATATTTCTGAATGTGTGAGAGAAGATGTGTATCCGTGAAATATAATAAAATTTCCAGAATCTTAAATCACTTTTATGATACGTGCAATTATTGCAATTAATTGCAGTTAACTTTTATAAAAATTATCTGAAAAATCTAATTATCTTAATCAAATATTAAAAGTATTCAAAAGTTTTCACTCATTAATCTATAGGTTTTGAATTCTTCATCGTTATCAATAAAATCTTTTAACTTAAAATTCTTAATTTTAAACATTTTTATTGTTTAAAAAATAGCATAATCAAAGCGCGTAAAATGCACAAAAATGAACAATTAAAATACTTAAAAAGATTATATAATAGCAAAAATATTCAACAATTTTGAATACAACGATTATTCCTGAATTATTTCTGAAAAATGAACAAGTACGAGCAAATGTGCTCACTCGATATTTTCGTTCACAAAACGCAATTTAATGGAACACATCAGTGTATCGTGGCATGAGATCGCGGTTATACCATGTGTATCATTAATTATCGCGATTGTCAATTAATCACTGGTGTTGGATCGGGTGTCGACCCGCCAACAATTTCTGCTACTTCTAATCTTTCAACCAGAAAGCTATCGAATTCGATCCCCGAGTAATTGCGATCGATGTCAGGCCACCTTCTCTTTTGTGGCGTGCGATCGAACGATTGTGCGCCGATAGAAAAGACCGTGTATGACAAACAACAATAAACGATAAACGACAAATATATCAGCAGGTCATGTACGTACTTAAATGCTCATTTTCAGGCTAGCAATCGAATTCAATTACTTGTACAACTTCATGAACGATTGACAAAAGACATTAATTTCTTAATTATTGTTATAGATTTATTTTCATAAAAATATTATAAATACTAACTTTATCAATTTATTAACAATATTGCATGGTCAAAGTATTGTATTAAAAGTATGTAAATAAATAAATATTCACCATCTTATCATTTTATGCATAATATGATAAAGATAATCGAAGCGATAACTAATTGAAAATGTTATTTTAGTCAAACAGACATGAATCCACTTCACATACAAATCCTTTTATCTCCCCTGTGAATATTGAAATGCGCTTATGCAATACTTGTGCAAAATTTCTGAGTTATAAAACGTATTGCGTAATGTTTGCTGTATATTTATATATTTCTGACATCAAACCGTTATAATAAAAAATCAATACAAGATACTACAAAATAAGTAGCTAAACATTAAGAGCATATTCTCTATTCACTGTAAAGATGAAGAGTCATATAAACTTTTTTATAGAAACTTGTTTTTATTCTTACAGTGAGTATGCTTAATGCTTGACTATTTATTTCTGAAATTTACATATTACTGAAGATTACACAATTTTAATAACGTACTACCTTTAATTATAAAGTGACTAGTACACACACATATCTCTTGTCAATCGTTCATAAATCAGCTGATTGGTATAGCTATCAATTGAAATTTATCTAATCAGCTAATATATACGACTGATGTTAAGAAATTAGCGTAATCGAATATAAAAATTTGCATGATGTGACACGTACAAATAGATATTTAAAATATTTTTATATAACATTTCCTTCCAATCGATAACATCCTCATCGCAATTACTCCGCGTCATTTTCGTTAAAACGTTTCTTCTAATTCCAATTAAATATATGAAACTAAATATATTAAACATTATGTAAAATCCATTTTTTATACAAAAATTTGGATGATCAACGATATTCTCATCACTATTAATATGCGACACTTTTTTGTCATAACATTTGTTTACAAATAAGTACATAAAACTTGAAAAAATCAAGTAAACAGTGTCCACTTTTAAAGAGACTATCTTTTTGCAAATTCAAACCACGACGTCCTCTCATTTGCCCGAGCGACGAAACAGCGAACACGCGACACGCGACGCGGACTCGAGATCAGAAGCGCGCGACTTTCAGACGCAAAAAAAGACATGTTGATCACCATGCGTGCGCGTACGTTTTCCTCGTGTGCACTGAGAAACTGGTGCGCGGCTAGCCGCGGCGTGCGGCTGTCCGAGAACATTCACAGAACCTCACAGGGCCCGCTGCTCGTCTCCGTCGCTGCGCATTTCCACCACGAGACGCGAGTGCGACAACTTCGATAACGATAACATCAACAACGGCGATGATGATGATGACGACGACGGCGGCGATGAGACCTCGCGGTGCATCATCCTCCCGAACGTTCCCGGTGTTTCGAAAAACGCGCGTCCGCCTAACGTCGCTCCACCTAACCCGCAGCAGGCGTGCGCAACGTCTGTCAATCGTCGACACGAGGGTCACAAAAATCCGCGCCGTCCGACAGGTGAACGACGACCCGTCCTTTCCCGCCGAAAGAGCTCGTCGTCCGCGATCGTTCTGTCGTGAAATCAACGCGCGACACCCTGGCAAAGCGTACAACACGGCGTGGATAGCCGCGTTCGAAAATTCAAATCCGCCGCGCCGCGTCCCGCCACTACGATCGACAGGTCCGTCGACCTAACCTCAACCGCGGCTGCGGTGTCCGCGACCAGTACCTCGACTGGCGATCGGTATCACCCCCGTACGGGTTGTGTAACGCACTGCTCGCGTTAAGAGTCAGGTGAATGAAAGAGCGAGAGAGAGAGAGATAAAGATAGACAGAGAAAAGGAGAGAGAGAGGGGGAAAGAGCAAGACAGAGAATGACAGATCAAGGAATACGAGCGGGCGAAGCGAAAGAGAGGGAGAGAGAGGATGCCGCCTGGCCCGTGCGAGCAACCTCGTGGACATGCGAGTGCAGACTGATTGGAGCGTGGAGTGTGAGGGTACTTACCCACGAGTCGCGAGATCGGTGGCGGTGGCGGAGGCGAGGAGGTAGAGGCGTGGAGGCACCGACCGGCGGCGGCGGCAGCGGTGGTAGCAGCGTGCGCGTGTGTTTTCGCCGCCATGACTGGCGCCACCGTAGTGACTTTCGGTGGCCCGATGACGCGCACGCGTGACCTGCGCAGTCGCGCGCTGCGCAACCACGCGCGACGCTCTTCGGGAGGCTCAATCGCGCACAGGACGCGCAGCCAGCAGCATTATCCTTGCGTTTCGCTCTTGTACCTTTCAATTTTCACAGCGTTTCGTACGCATTCTGCGATGTGCCACTCCAAGTTGTTCCGCATTGATTTCCTCATTCTCTGACAGCTGAAATACACACCAGTCCAATTAAGCATTACATAATTATTCATATTTTACTTATATATTTGACACTTGGATTCTTATATATGAATAATGAACGCTATGCATATGTTACATGAAACATTATAGTTTTTTTCTTACAGTAGAAAGGATATCTTTGTCAGATTTCCATGAGATCTCTAAATAATTAAAAATTTCTCACATACATATATTATAATTCCAGCGCTTACAATTAGTTAGATTGGAGTAAAGAAGAATATTTAAAATAGATACAATTATTGTACAAAAAATATATAAAAGAAAAAAAAATTATTTTAAGATAAATCAAATTATAATGTATCGATTATAGAAATTTGTGAAAATTATTGAAGTCTCTTTTCATAATTTAGAATAACATATTAGTTTAAAATTATAATAAGTAATCAGTTTTCTATTACTGTAAAGAAATTGAAACCAACATTAAGATGCGTGTATATAAAAAAATACTCTTTATCTGATGCTTAAAAAATTATCGCAAAAATAATTTTCTTAGAATTAATTATTGTTTCAATTATTACAAATAAATTTTTATAAAAATTATATTTTTATAAAAATTTATTTCCTTTAAATACAATAATATATATATGTATGTATGTGTGTTTGAAATTCTATTCGAGTTTTTTGTATGCTCACTAACACACTAACACATAACACATCGAAAATTAATTAATTGAATTACTGTCTAATATTATTAATTAATAAGTCCATGTATGGCTTCTCCCGACGGGATCAGATTTCGAAACTATGAACTGTTTATGAAAACAACTGCCGAAAATTTATCAGCAAACTAACTATAATAATACTTCAGTTAATAATTAATAATTATTAATATGTACGAAATGTATCGTATATATATAAACGTTACTAATCGCACATCTCGTATAACAAATTGTCTCGAAAAGTCCTAAAAAAATGTTTTCTACATTTTCATATACTGGCCGCGTCATCTAGTGGAAAGTTTGAAAATTATATTTACTTATTCAATTGGTCATAATGAATACATATAATCAATATTTTGTATACACGCAAGTGCATATAAAAATAGACAATTTATTATTAAAAACTCGAACTAAATCAATACTACAAATAACAAGATACAGCATATATGAATTTTTATGGCATTTATTAAATAATTTGGAGAATTATTTTTGCAATCTTACTTCAAAACTATAATCATCTAAACTAAATAAACTTTTCTCTCTTTTTATTATCCGTTTACAAATACTCTCATTTTAATACTATATTACCTATTCTTAGAGCAAGTCGTAAAATAGCATTCATGGCGCTCTCTCTGATCAAAAAGCAGAAATAACTATACAGGATGCATTCCACTTAACGCCCACAATGCTCCCAAAATTATTTCATCTTTGTTGTTCATTTGAAATTAAACAAAGATTGATAATATTCGCGAGCGTCACGTTGAACGTTAAAAGAACGCACCCATAACCGATAACATATGCAACCTGTTATCCACGATAAAATTGAAAGATTATGACAATTATCATATAAAATAATATTAATTATAAAAAATGTATAGAATTTTTAAACATTATTTGCAACACAATGTAATTTTGAAAATGTTTAGAAACTATTATTAATTAGTCATCTTATCTACTATCCTATATTTAAACAAGATATAGTTTTCTATGCGTTATACACTAGACAATATATTTTTATTTTTTTATAATAAAAAATATATACACTTTTGTGCCCATATGTTTTAGTTATATTTGTTTATTATCTCGTTGATTTACCAATACATAAGAAAATTATTTTTATAGCTATTAATTATTTTGTTAATTAAAATATTGTTCCTTTTTCGTTGGAATATACGATATCATTAATATATTCTTATATCGTTAAATATTATTAAAACTATTTCTCCTCAAACATATAATTAATCCATTTAATATTATTTTAAATGAAAAAAGCGCATATATTAATACCTCGCTGCTTGTAGAGTATATATAATATCATATTATATACATTACCATAAATGACATAAGTAATAATATATATGTATAATTCTGTGCAATTGTTGTAAGAAAAAAGTACAATTTTATACAGCTAATATATTAGAAAAAAGCACGATTGAATTAAAACAGAATATATATCACACAAAACTGAATTATTGGAAAGTAATTATATTAAAAAGTATATATATTAACATAATTATATTGGAAAGTATTTTATCCAATATATTTTTTCAATAAACATTTAAAGAATGAAGAATATAAGAGCGACATGTTTTCCGATTTTTTATTTCTCTCTTCTTATAAAGAATAAAATATCGTAAATATTTTATATTCTTCACACATATACATGTATATGTGTGCGTGTATATATATATATATATATATATATATATATATATATATATATACATATATTATTAATATGTATCAATCAACAAATCAAGGATCTTATTTATATTAAACAATTTTACTTTTCTTGACATTTCCTATGATAAGAATATTTATATACATATAGGCGATATTTATTTTCAGTAATTTTATTAATAATTAACTCACTTTAATAATTGCAGCTATAATCACGTAGAATTTATTTGACAGAATTATTGCACTACGCGACGCGACAAACGTCACAATGGTCGCGCGAAATTCACTCGACGGACCTGTCGCACTACCGACGCGCCGCGACAAAACGTCACGATGGTCGCGCGGAGTTCAGTTGACGGAAATGTCGCACTACCGACGCGACGCGACAAAAACCATCACGATGGTCGCGCGGAGTTCACTTGACAGAATTGTCGCACTACCGACGCAAAAACGATATTATAATAATAATTCAACAATCGCCCGATACTTTTCTCGGCACTCTCGACATTATAAGATTATTTGCAAGCAATATTTACTTTTAGAAACTAAATTTGAGCAGCTAATTTGATGAATAACATTGATGCATGTCGTCGCATATTTACACTACATATGTATAAATATAATACAATAATCGCCCGAAAAATTTTTCTTCGGCACTCCCGTTACTAAACATTTATTTGGAAATGATATTTGTTCTCAATAATATGAATAATTATATCTCACATATGACGAGACAAGTAACAACTCTACCCTATACTGCGGCATCATATCATAATTATGGTTATAACACTCGCGACAGTAATCACGAATCAATTAATTCTATTCCTTCAACATTTACGACACTTACGACACTCGATCGCGATACTTACAACGCCCGATCGCGATTATATCCGCACGATAAAACGCGATAAAACTCCAATGCCGCAAGCCACAAGTGATCGCGCGCGAAATGGTTGCGGAAACGACTAAATATCTCAACTTCCGACTCGCGGTTCAATATGGCTGCCATGACGTCATGACGCGCGGGATTCAAATGACACTTTTTATGAAACGGTAATATTAAATTATTATTATATTAAATCCGATTATATTTTGATTATTTTACAATAGGATTAGAATATTAATATATAATATTAAAAATACATTAATAATAAAATAGATATTAGTATAAAAAATGTATAATGTTATAATATTAAATTATTAAAAATAATTAAAAAATTAATAAAATAAATAAAAATATTATAATGAAAACTTTGCATTATCACAACAAAGGAGTAATTTTATATTTAGCGATGTAATAAAAAATTGATTAAAATTTTATATTATTATTATATTAAAGTGCAAATTAGCAACTTACACACTTGCAATTATACGATTTGAAATATACTTTGGTTATTAATATATACATATATGTAATTGTTTTATTTCACAATAAAGTTGTAATTATCATTTCTTTAAACACTTAGAACAAAAGTTTTTTAAATTAAATTCTAAAATATCAAATATCATATTTTCATACATCTTTTTTGTAATGTAAAGACTCTACACATTTTATTATACTAATATTTCTATTTAGCAGATATTTTTTAATTAAACTAATGGCAAATCATGTCAAAAATTTATGTAAATAAATTATTCTTCTTTCATAAATGTTAATCTTAAAAATTACAAAGTATTTAAATGATTTCCTAAGAAGTATAAAACACATGCGTTTCGATTATGAAAATAATTATATTCTTATATACAATATTATACACACTTGTAAATAAAAATATTTTTAAATAATTAAAAATTTGTTTAAATAATTTATCAAGTATTTTTGATTTGTAGAATTAATACATAAATTTGTAAAGTATTGTATACAACTTCTAACTTTTAAGATTTCTAAAATAATTACAAGAAAAATTTGCAGATATAAAAATTTTTATGATTTCAAAAATACAATGTAATATTTTATGCATTTACTGTACATATGTATTTATGTGTGCACTAGTTATTTATAATTTTTAATTAAAAAGTAGAAGTAAATAAAAGTAAATAACTTAATAAAGTTGTAAATTGCTGCTGCAGCAGATAAAGTGAATTAAAAAAGGACAGAAAATGGTTGTTTATACATATGCATAGGTATATACAAAAATGAAACAAGAATAGTTATTAGTAATAATTCTTATTTTATACAGAATGTATCATTATTTCTATATCGAATAACTTTTAAAACATGCATTGTATAAATAAAATATTTTACAAAAGTTACATGTTACATGATCGATAAATGTTCTAAGAGGGATCAACAACTACCTAGATATAAGAAAGATTATTATTGCTTCTTTAAAGGATATCATATCATAGGATAATATCTTAGCATTTTTCTACAGATATCAATCCTCATCAGATAAAAGTTTCAAAATTATTTCTGTATAACTTTTATATAAAACTTTTTATACAATGCACATATTTTAGTTATTCAAAATAAAAATACATCATTAAAATTACTTATCCTATATATGTCTGCATCTATGATGTGTTACGAATATTATTAACTATATTGTATAAGAGTTGAATTGTAAGAGTGAAGATTGAACAATGTGTCTTCATTTTCTTTCTCTGATTCAACTTGATTCAGTACTATTTGTGTAACATTTGGAGGCAAAATTACTTGTTCTATGAATATAGTTTCAGTGTGAGGTTCTTCTGTTATAGAAATTTCCTTCGATTCTTGTTGAAGTAAATCACTTGATTTTGATATAGTGTTTCTTCTCCGTTTGTCCCTAGGCCGATCCTCATGTATTCTCATGTGTCGTCGTAGATCGTACTTCCCAACAAATCCCATGTCACAAATGTCGCATTTGAATGGCTTGTGCTCTGCATGTTTGAACATATGCCTTCTCAATGCTGCACTGACTGTAAATGCCTTACCACAAACGTTACACACATGAGGTTTCTCGCCCGTGTGTAATAGTCCGTGATCTCTTAATGTAGCACGCTGATTGAAACTGCAACCATTATGCAAAAAATATTAATATCACATTATGCTCCACATTTACAAATGTTTAAATAAAAATTGTATACACATAATGATATTGAATGATTATTTAAAATATAATAAATATATCATTCAAAATAAACAATATATTAATAAATTTATTTCTTTTAAATTTAATATATACTTTGTCTTTAAAATTTTCTTATAAAGTATATAAATCCTTTCATATCAGCCTTAATTATTATATTCTTATTTATTTTTTAGATTTGAATATAATTTATATTTTGCTTCTTTCAAAGAATAAAGATTTATTCAATATTTTAATATTTTACTTCTTTCAAATAAAATATCAAACACTTGTATTAACCTTTTGCCGCAGACTTCACACGTGTAACTCCGTGGATTCGAATGTATCCTTGTGTGATTTATCAGATTACCTCGCTGTGAGAAAGATTTCTCGCAATACTGACACTTGAATGGTCTTTCACCAGTATGTACACGAATATGCGTTTCCAGAGTACGATTGTTGGGAAAACGCTTACTGCAATAACTGCATGGATACTTAAATAAGTAAAGACCTTGGGGATCCAAATGACTGACCAGATGTCGTTTGTAATTGCCTTTGTGATTAAATGTACGTGGACACTGATTGCAAGAGTAAGGTACGCTATGCGTCTTCATGTGAGACTCTAACTCTGCCTTGGCTTTAAAACGACAACCACATTTTGGACAGCGATGCCGCGGAAAATCATGGCACGTCATGTGCCTCTTCAAATATCTCTTCTTAGCATATCCTTTATTGCAGATAAAGCAGGAATACGGATCACTACCAGTATGCGTTTTCACATGTGCTCGTAACTCTCGATGACTTTCGCAATCTTTTTCGCATACCATGCAAAAAAATGGACCACTGCTAGGGACGTGATTATCGACGGTGTGTAGTAATATACACGTTAATTGCTTGTAGTTCTGCAGACATAATGTACATTGATATTCGATTCCGTTTTCCTGTTTCACTTCTTTAATTCGTATGATCGCGTCGTTCACACTTCCTAATATGTTATCTTTGGCATCGATGAAATAATCAGAATCAGACTCATCGCTGTTTTCTGTTCTTACAGGTTTTTCAATATTGAAATTGCTTTTATCAAGTTGCTTATTTTTGCTCTGCATTTTGTCATCCACATATTTACAACAGACGCGATTTTTTCTAGTCACATTAGAATTCACAGGACTAGAAATATGTACATTGTTTGAAATTTCATCTTTTTCTCGATTTAAGATTTCCATTGTAGGAACAAATATATTATTATCATTTTCAATTTCTTCTTCCATTTGATCAGATGCTAATGTATTTTCCACAAATATTGGTTCAGACATCGACTCACTCATAGAGACCTGGTCTTGTGGTACATACATTATTGTGATATCTTGTGATGCAAGAATTTTTGAAATTTCCTCAGGTATATCGGTTTTTACAAAATGAACATCCATTTGATTCTCATTAATTTCTTGTACATCATGAAAGAGTTCATTCAATTGCAGATTATTTTCTTTGTTGGCTCTGTCATTTTCGAGCAACTGAGGTATATGAGACCCGTATTGTTGTTCAATCTTAATTGTTTTATCTATTTCAATCTTTAGATTCCCCAACAAATCATCATTATGTATAGATTTATCATTTGATACATTTAATTCTGAAGATTCATCTGATTGTATATTATCTTCATTATTCTCATTATTTAATTTTTCTCTCTGAAAAAAAAAAAAAAATATAAACACTTGCAAGAAAAAAATGGAAAGAGAACATGAGAGTTAAATAAATCCCATTAACATATCACAAATTTTCTTCATAACACAAAATGTTTAAAAAAGATTTTTAATATATCTTTATGTTTTTCAGTATTTTCATTGTATTTTATTGTTTAACAAAATTAATTTTTATTATTTATGATATAAATTTCTTTTAGTATCTATTGCTATTATAAATTTAACATATACAAAAAAAAACAAGATATTACAAATATTAAATAAAAATATTATTAGAGTTCATATAATATTAAATTGATATTATTTATATTCTTTATTATTATACCTTAGTAGTAATAAATTGATCTTCAAGTTGCTTCCTGAATGTTTTGTCTGACTCTTGCACTATTAGTCTGAAGTTATACAAAACACAAGTGCGGTAAGCACATTTAATACAAAGCATAGTGGGCAGTCCATCAAATTTGTCAAGCTGTTAAAAGAAAAAATTATATTAGCATGCTGCAAGCTATTCACAGCCATGTGTAAACATTTTTTGTCAATAGTCAATTTTTGTAAATATTAAATTTTATCAAATATTAATCAATATACGAGTGACATAAAATGAATTAATTATATTTTGTAACATCTTATTATCGAATATATAATACTGTGATATTAAATCTCAATAATATTTACAATATTTAGGGCCACATATAGCTGGCCATACTTGTTTTACAATCCTATTAAAAAAAAACTTTTAGATATAAAGTGCGTATTTTTTTTATTATTTTACGTAATTTATTTTACATCATAAAACTGCGTGATATATCAATAAAAACGAATGTTTACAAAAAATCAATCTATTTACCTGAATAGACGTAAGCTCCGCCAATTTATATGGCAGATCAATTTTGCTTGCAGTTTTATCGTCATACATAGGCAACATTTTGCCGTCTTTCTTCATACAAGCACGGCATGTATTTTTATTGATGCAACTGACATTCGAGCTCTTAATTTGACGCGACATCACGATATTTTAATATTGTTCAATAATCTTCAAATGAGAGGAGTGGCGACGAAAACTGAAAATGACAGGAGTGGCGACGAAAACTAACCTTGACACGCTATTACGTGATATACGTAATATCAAACAGCATCGAAGCAGTCTAAAAGTGTTCGAAAATCCACCTGTCAAAATGGAACAGTCCCGGATCGACCAATCAGGAGCGAATCAATTTTGCTTCTGATTGGTCGATCGAGGGTTTCTCTATTTCGAGGAAATTTTCGAACACATCTTGTATGTACATACATGCATTAGTTTTCTCGAATCTCCACAGATGTCGCTTAAATGATGTTAAATCGCGGTGCCGCCATTTGCGTCAACATTCTCTCGAAGAACATATATTGCTCAATATTATAAAATAAACAATAAGCAGAGATGTCCGAATAAAGCAGTGTACAGGTATGCGATAGAATAGCAAAAGCATATAAAAAGACACGTATATAATATATGTACAAAATATATCGGAAAATTTGTACATTATTTGAAGCTATATGTGACTATAGATTTGAAGATGTTTTTACATATATTACTATATATATTTTACATGTGCAATTAAATCTCTCGTATCGTTTGCGAACAAATTTTAATTGTTATAGAAATATGAAACCGTAATGTCATATTGCACATTTTCAATTTTCGATTTCATGTTTTAATTCGCGAAATATTCAGTTATACAGTACCCTCCACAAGTTTCGAAACACCTTACATTTTACAGTTAAACAATCGCATGGGAGCGATCTATGCAAATTTTTTATATGAATATATCGTAATGCTATTTAAATGACGATATAAAAATGTCATTTAAATATCTTATGATATATTCATACAAATAATTTGCACAGATCGCTGCCATGCGATTGTTTTAACTGTAAAATGTAAGGTTCCAGATAGCACATAAGGTACTCGAAAAGAATTCATTTATATGTCACCAATTTTGAGTCCTTTTTCAAATACATATAGAATTCATATCATAGAATAAAACGAATTTTATATGTATTTGAAAAAGGACTCAAAATTGGTGACATACAAATAAATTATTTTCGAATATCTTGTGCTATCTGAGGTGTTTCCGAACTTGTGGAGGGTATTGTATACATATATATCAAGAGGAAGCTACAAATTGAATGTGGTCACTTTTAAACCGGTCACGTGACTCGGCGCCCTAAGGTCACGTGACTCGACGCGCGCGCAGTTACGTTCACACTCGTCGAAGAATAAATCACGTCGGCCGAAACTACTTGTCGCTTCGCGTTTATCGTTTCTCCATCGTTTTTAAAAGCCGTCAAAAGTGATCTGCATACGCAAACGAGTATTAATAGTGCCGAATATAGTGCATCGTGTCGTTATTAATTGGCGCCAGTCGACATGATATCGATGCGTCTTGATCGATATATCGCTGTCGTCTCATTTACGACACACATACTTGTTTAGTCACCATGCTTCGTGTCGCGACAATCGAAATTATCGATCATTTCGAATGAGTGAATATCGGGATCGGGAGTGTCGTAAAAGTGTTTCGCGATCGTTTCGTACCGCGAGATATTTTAAGTATGATTCGCGTTGTCGCATCCGATACTCCAATAACAGTTTCTGAATTTCCGAAATAGGTAAGTAAAAAGAAATTCGAAGCACACGGAATATCGCGCACTTGTCGCGCCTTCAATTATTTTATTACACACTATCGCAATTAATTACTAAAAACCTATATTTCTTACTATTAGCTTGATAAATACATAGCTCGTAATTAAAGCATAATATCAAATAAAACGCGATACGGTTGTTATAGCTTTTAGTCATTCATCAGAAATGAGCGCATTATTTGATATTGCGTATTACATTTTCAATCATAAATTGCATGTAGAAGTAAATATGTAGATTATCAAATGACAGAACAATTATCGGAGTTCATCAGATTATTATGACAACTTGCAACTACGATTAATCGCATGTTCTCTAATCTTCACATCTTAAAATTACATATTTTTTCATGTTTTGAATGTAGAATTTTTTGTGCCTCGTAATATTTTATCTCCCTTGACATTTGTGCTAAATAAAGAGAATTCGTGATAATTATTATGTAATAATATTGTGTGATCATAATAAAGTGTATATATATATATATATATATATATATATATATATATATATATATATCCGTCAATACTTCTTATTTTCAACTTTTGTTTGCAACTTTTCAACTCGCGCGCAATACGGTTCAGGGTATCGGGTATGCTAAATGAAGCAAGCGTCTTATCGTTAATTAGTATGGTTAATTAATATAGGATTTCCTGATCGGCAAACTAAGTCGCTCGACGTTCGATGTTCCGTATTTCTGCGCACCTATCGAAGCGAGTCGTGCGTGTGAATAAATATCGAGAGTATCTCGTATTAATAAAGTGTCGGAAGATCATTACATCGTATTATTCCGGGTGATTGCAATTAATTACGATTCCCGATTAATTTGTTATCAATATCTGTCATCAAAGAAGCAGCTAAAGAAATATATTTACAATCACAAAATAACTCTTAATAATTAATAAATTAATTAATATATATTCTTTTTTATTATTTATATCTTTAATATTTTAAATATTTTTTAATTTTATATTTTCTTATTTATATAAAGAGATTGTTTTCTGATTTTAATCATAGTTTATTTTTTATCTACAAAAAGTTTAATTATTGATTATTTTAAAAAATATTGTATATAAATTAATTCATCAAATTTCAATATATCAAATTTAATATATATATTTAAACAACAATTATATATTTAACAATTATATTTTATTTTGGGAAAAAATTAACAAAACGTTAATTACAATATTTAAATATTTTTCAGGAGACGTTGGCGAAATGCAGTAACAGCAGTAAAATGGCCACATTATGCAGCAATCGGTGAGTCAATGAATCTATTATAAAATTGATTTTGCACACCTATTTGAAACGATATGTAATATTTTATAAAAATGTATTAAATACAACTACTTATAAATTTATGAAAAATGATAATGCATTATTGTTCTAAAATTTGCATTTTAATTTTAATTCTTTTATTATAATGTCATAAAGTTATTATCATAGTTTTTTATGATATATATTCTATAAAAATATTTCCGCAAAATTATAAAAATATGTAAAAAGTAAACCCATTCATTAATTAATCATTAGATACATAATAATACAAATTCGTATATTTTAATTTTTGATTATTATATCAAGAAATGTTCTTTCTTGAAAGCTATAAATAATCTCATGTTATTTTAATTCACATATTAAGATTTATTCTTTTATTACAATCTTTAATTTGTCCTTTATTGCAAAAACCAAAATGTCGAACTTAAAGATTAAGTAAGAAAGTATAACTTTTGATAACGAGAGTTGGTGTCAGATGCAGTGATAGCAGGGATAAATTCAGATGATAATTGAAATGAATACTTGGCCGCTTACTGTGCACGAAGTTCGGTAAAGAAAACCGGATTTATTTTGCATTAAGTTCCTGTCCGCGTCGTTCGCACTGGCTGCAGTTTATAATGGACATTCGAAGCGAGTGCAAACTTCGTATTGTAAACGATTTGTCGTTTTACATGTGCATGCTGTGTTTGTTAAGTGAAGCACGTGTTTGCATTGTTCGTGATACAATTAAGTCGTACATGCTTAATCCAGTTTATAAAGCCTCTGCTTTTTATATCTAAAATGTGGATTATTAATAAATTCGTGAATTAATTTTAAATTCATTTAAACATTTTTTTAATTCTTAGACGTACATTTTAGCAATATTCTAAAATTTTATAAATTTTTATGTATACATATATATATTACACATATTTAACTTTTAAAATTTTATCTTTCTAAAAAATATTATTTTAATTCTTTATTAAATTTAATCGCGCGTTTATATATATATATTAATATTTTGCTAATGAAGATAGCGTTATACGATGTAGCACTAAATTTGTTAGAGAGTATATTGCAATAAGAAAGAGGATGATTTCTTATGCAGTTCGTGTACATCTCTTTAAAACTGTTAACGCTCAATTAATCCGTCCGTGTTAAATTCTTCGCGTACTGAAACGACTTGTAAAGGTTTTATACGGATAGCAGGAGAGAATTATGGATTACTCACTAATTCTCTACATTAGAGTTTTATTATGCCGAATTGGTACATAAAGGTATTTCAGCTATGCAAGGGCTCTAATAAATCAGTATACTGGGTTTCATGTCGCGCCAACATTTTATTGCAAAGTCCAATCGTTCCAAACTTAATTGAATTGGCACACAACCGAAACTTATAATTACAGAGAATTAAAATAAACATTAAACACAGCCAAGATATAAATTTGAGACATAACTTGCTTGATGTTTTTTGCGCATCAATTTTATTATTGACAAAAGAGTTCTACACTAATTTAATAGAAAATGATTTTCCGTCGAGTTGGCTGAATTTTTTATATGTTGTAATTTAAGGCATTCTGATCAAAAGACATTCTGCGTCAAAGTTAAATAATGGATAGTTACTGATTTACAGCGGTCAAAATACTCGAGCTCTGCGAGTTATTTGACTGGTTGTAACTCAATAACTATCCAGTAACTATCAGAATGCCTTAAACTAAAACATATCAAAAATGTAGCCAATTTAACGGAAAGCTATTTTCCATTGAATTAGTGCAAGATCCTTTGTTAACAAAAAATATAAAAGCTAAACATATATTCTTGTATTATGTAAAATGTAAAATATGAAATAATAACAAATAGTTGCGATATTTGCCATCGGATTAATCTGAATGATTAATTTGATTTATTCCGTTGATTCTGCAATGAACAGTCTGATAATTTTTCTCATTTGAGTTATGAATTAAATTTGCTAACATTTTCGAATACGAAACGTATACAGCAACGATTGGTTGGTAGAAGATGATATACGAACTATATATATGTTGTTTATACACATGCGTATGTTATACAGAGTGCACCATAAGCTTTCCGGATTACACTAGTGTGGTTTACGCGAGCTAAATTATATATTCAGATACTAGTCCTTAAATAACTTCATTACTCAGTATATATTACTAGATTTACATATTCCATGTTCTCGTTAACACTCGCTACTAAGTCAATTTTTATTATTATATTATTCAATGAGGAACTTACTTATTTAATATGGAAATATATAAACTGTATGCTTCAAAAAACTATAATATTTACATTTATACGTAATCAAATTTTAGAAGTATTATTATGTCTGTGCAATTTTACAGCTGCTCTTATTACTAAGGTATACAAAATATAGTAAAATTGAATAATTGTTCCGTGAATATATTAATATGAAGAGATTCATATCTTTTAATTATATTTCAAAAAGATCAAAAATCTATTATATCTCGAGATAAATGATCATATCAAGATTTTTCGAGGTATATATGAGATTTTTCTCATTGATCCTCTGATTAATATAATTGTACTTATATATGTGCGACATTATTTCCAATGTTATATATGTTTTTAAAAATATTTTTATTATTTCTTACATTTCTAAGGAGATAAAATTTGGAGGTAAAATATTTCGTGCTCTTCGAGAAAAAAGAAGAAAATGAGTTAACGAACCGACCATTAGCGGAACACCCACCACAATTTCCTCCTTTTAGTCTAATTATACTCGAACCCACGATCGGCTTCATCTAATCGCGCCCTTTTCTATTTTTTGCTACACGTTCGAGCTACATCAATTACGTTTCGCTTTTGTGTACTATTTAATTCAAATATAAATAAACGACGACGACGACGACGATGATGACGACGTTCCGTCGTCGCTTCCATTTCGGGCGCTGATGAAAAGTCGATCGATTCGCGCGGGGGTGGATCGACGGGAGCCACTCTTTTCGAAACGTGGCCCATCCCTTTCGAACAACCGACAACCCTTCCTTCGCATCTCCATCAACGGCGCTTGCGCCCCGATGCTATAAAAGACTGAGCGCCTCTCGCGCCGATTTCAGTCTGACCCGCGATACCGGCAACGCGGTCGTCGCGCGCGTTCTTACGAATCATCCCTCTCGAGGACGATACTCCCATTATGATGCTTCCCGGTTCCGACTAGCAAGAGCGAAGAGAGAAAGAGGGAGAGAAAGAGAGAGACAAAGAGAGAGAGAGCGAACGAGAAGAGCTCCTCTTTTCCTCCCTTTCTTCCTCCCGCCATCGCGATAAGCAGCGTCGTCGTCGACGTCAGCAACGACGTTGCTCCTTCTGGACGACCAGCGTACGTTGATATAAAAAGAGAACGACACACAGTAGTTCTGCCCATTGTTGCGCGGACGTGGCAGCGGCTCCTCAGGACTGCTCTTTGTGGAACCCTCTCTCCCTCTCCTTCTGCGCGGCATGTGGTTGTGTCTTTGTGTGCATTATTTAATTCATAGTAAACGCGACTCTATCTTTTATGGTGGACATTCCTTTTTATGTTGCTAAATAGTACGTCGATGGAATACAATTACTTTTCGTTGCTCAGATAGCGGATATCAAACTATTTTATTCGTGAAGAGACGAAGCGATGTTTGGCTGTTGTGTTTTGTGCGCGATGGATAGTCTTTATTTTATTTTATTTTATTTTATTTTTTTTTCTATCATAAATGATTCGTTTTTTATTGTCACCCAGAGAAAATACAGGTTCTTTTTATGTTGTCGTTGGATGCCGATTTGTTGACAATAATTGTTCGATAGTGAGTAGGAATGAGAGACTTTTCATTACTGAAATGATGGTTAAATTACTTCGTTATTTAAATATTGCTATTAAAAGACTTCACGCTAATTCAATAGAAAATGGTATTCTGTCGAATTGGCTAAATTTTTGATAGGTTGTAATATAGCAAAAGATGTAATAACTTCAAAGCTAAATAATAGACAGTTACTGATTGTCAGTTACAATCAGTCAAACATTTCGCGAGCGCGAGTTTTTCGTGTTTGACTGACTGTAAATCAGTAACTATCTATTTAGCTTTGAACTTATATTTTTATTGTATTTTTTATTTAGCAGATCAGAAGCTACAACACATGAAAAAACCAGCTGATTTCATCAAGATTCAATTTTATATAGAATTAATGCGGGGTTTTGAACTTGATAAAATCAGATGAAATTGAATCTTGGTAAAATTAGCTGGTTTTCTCGTATGTTGTAGCTTCTGATTTGCTAAATAAAAAAATATATAAGCTCAATAATAATAGATGATTACTGATTACAGCCAGTCAAACACAAAAAACTCGAAATGTTTGACTGATTGTAACTCATCAGTAACTGTCCAATATTTAGCTTTGAAACTATTACATTTTTTATCAGAATGCCTCAAACTACAAAATATCAAAATTCAATCAATTCGACGAAAATTTTCTATTGAATTAGTGCGGGATTCTTAAATTATATTAAACCTTATTTAATAATTAATTAGCCGAATTTGTTTAATTGTTCAAATAACAATATCTTACACTTAAGGTGTATAAATCAGACGATATTATTTTTAATATGTTTCGTTCTTAAATTAAATGCAGTGTACACTAATATAGAAATTAAAATTGAATTAAATATATAGACTGCATATTAATCCTAATTTAGACTCAAAGATTACTATTTAAATACGATATATATAGAAAATTTTTAATCTAGCTTTCAATATTGCAAATTTCTCGCATATTAACTGCGTGCAAGAACAGCAGCTCTCCAATGAATTAATACAGTTACTTAAAATACAATTAAGCTCTTATCTTTTCCTAGACTATCTTGAGCTTAATATAAGTTTATATAATTACACGATAAAAAGACTTTTTTTTATTTTTGTTGATCGCGTCGCCAGCGCTGAGAGATTCAAGGAAGTAGGATATCAGACTCTCTTTCTCTCTTTTTTTTTTCTCTTTCTCCAGTTTTAGCTGAAAAACTAGAAAGTGGTGCATTTGGCGTTTGTATCTCGTTGATGTCGCCGTGCTCGTTGCGGCGAATGCGAGGACGGATAGCTTGCTCTTCGTTTTATCGTGATACATACATGCACCAGCGGAAAGCTTTCGCGATGCTTAACGTATTAACCGCAACGTTGGTCGCGTTGATATCGTTTGCATCCGCTAACTTTTTTGAGGTAAATTTGTCGGAATGCCCAGATACAGAGTATCATTCTTGCAATTTTCCATATATGTGTCGTATATTTATACAGCTTGAAATAATAAATAACATCTGCGCGAGATCAATTCAGTTGTTTTATCCAAATTTAAATCGTAGTTGCTTTCGTTAAATTTATTTTTAAGTGTCTTTTGTTGAGATTTCCAAATAGAAAGGTCTTAATATTTTTATAAATGATATAATAGCGAAAAATTTGACAGCTAAAATAAAATATGTTTGATTTGGTGGGATTTCCGAGGAAGCCAATACATTTGAGTCTTAATTAACTTTGCAAATCTAATAACATCTCAGCAGCAATATCTCCGCTATCGAATGGATATGTTAGCTAAAAAGCGAAAGTGGATTCGCAAACGAAGAAGATCTTCGCTTATCGAGAAACCTTCGATGTGGTAAGATACTGTTGCAGGATATCAATTGCGTGGGAAAGCATCCCGTTGCAAAGATGGCGTTTAATGGCGTTTTGTTTTCTTTTCTACCGAGTTTTATCGATTAGGAGAAAAATTAGAATTTTAACCTTTCAAAGATCTATACGCTTTCCAAAATGCTTATCCTCAAAAATTATATAGTATTAAAAACATTTAATTGCAAATTAACTGAATTTAAATTTAGATGACAAATACTTATTTAATAGAAATAAAAATGCTACCAAATTGCTCATATTTATAACGAGGGCTGACTGCGCTGTTTGATAATGCTGTTTGCTAATTTTAGAATCTTCGTCAGAGAGAGCATGCAATTCACTCTTTTTCAGCTATTGCATGTGAAGCGCACGAATTCTTTTTAATGCAATGATTTGTCGTATCGAAATGTATATGATGACAGGTGCCTATTTTATGCCTTTTTTGTCATATTTCGGTATTCGACAGCGAGAAAATGTCTAAGAAAATTGATAAGGACCTGCCTTCGCAATTTGTCTTTACGTTACTAACGCTGTTGCATCTGTAGAAAAATGTAACAATCACGACGAAATCGATAACGTGAAGCCCGGTTTTTATCGAGCATATGCATCTGTAATTTATGTGTGTCACGGAGGCAATCGTAATTGAAATAGTGAAACGTGAAGACTTATATATTAAAGAGAGTTAGTTCACTTTATGCGCGATACGTGAGTTACATAGATCGTCTCAGAAACCGTACAGAAACCTGCAGATTGCTTATGGGAATACGCAATTCATTTATATTTAGTATAAAATTAAACTCAACTTGTTTAGAAATTATTCATAATACTTAAAAATTGGATATACACTTGACTAGTTCTTTTATAACATATGTTTTTCTTTTCAACAAAGCTTTAAAAATTAAACTGTTAATCAAACAAAGCAAAGTTGAAAATTAATTACACTATATTATAACTTTTATTAATAACAATAAGAAAAACATTTTATGCATTTTATTTTTGAAACTCTAATTGTTCAAATAATTGTTTTAAAAATGATTTTAATTATACACATTAAATTTTACTTACTGTATTACGTCTTTGCATTTAAATACGATATGTCGAAGATTGGCATTATCAGTAGAATGCTTTTAATGGCTTTCTATACGTATAAAGCAACTTACGTAAAGTATGCTAGAATTTATTGCATATGACAGATGCTCATAACTTTGAGTAGGTAACGGCAATATACGACAAGAGAAATATGCCTGAGTAACCGTAAATTGCGACGCCCAACCGCACCGAAAATTATTTATGACATTGCCAAACATACGTATTCTGTGATCGTTGGCTTGTAATAGTGATCTTGTAAAAATGTCATGGTAAAATTTCACAGAAAGGCATAAAAGAAATGCAAATGTTTTTACCTTTATTTTATTAAATATAATAAATGTGTTGAATACAATCAAACATGTATTCTCTATTTCGCGTTATTCTCTCTTTCTCTTTCTATATAAATCTTTTATGTGATATATATATATATATATAAATAATAATATATCTCACTCAAAAATCATTTTCTTATATTACAGATATATATTTAAACTTTATTATTGTTATATTTTTATTTGTCTTTATAAAAGCATATTTTTATCCTGAGAAAATTCAAATATAAATATATATAATAAAATCTAAAATTTAATTTCATGTATAACAAAAATTTACAACATTTTGAAGTGATTTTTGTTGGTATTAGTATTTTTCGATTTTTGTATGAAGAAATAGAAATAAAGTTTAGAAAATAAAAATGAAAAAATAAGTCTTTGAAAATTAATGAGCTAGACGTGATCTTTTTATGCCGCATGAACATTTTATTGGGTAATAAGATAGAATAGAAAAGAGAGTGACTTTTGGAAAAAGATGCATTGTTATCGAGGGAAACCTTATGCTTACGAAATGCTGTACAAATTCGATAGAAGGACTTCAGGGAGACATTTGTCGGTTTTATGAAGATGCATTGGAAGTTGCCAATTTCGGGATCGCTCCAATAAATTTTTATCAGATCAATGTTAATCTTGAAATCGCTATCGTTCGAAACGTTCGTGGACGAAACAAAATGAGGTCAAAGACCGAGTTAAATCTCCCTTAAACCACTTAGCAATCGCTATGAGAGAACTCGCTTTGCGAGATTCCGCTCGCCTTCCTTTCGGATCAGCGCTCTCATATTGGAGTAGTAAAGTTAGAGGCGAAGAAAATGATGTACTAGATACATATCCAAGTGGATTAAAACGAAAATGTATAAAATTATTTCAAATATCATATTTTATATCTATAGAATTTTAAGTACAATTTTACATTTTCATGGTGAATCGAAAATGTATGTATAATATTTAAAAATATTAATTGTACAAGTTCTAAATGCTACAATTTTATTCTAGATAGATTTTGAAACTTATAAGTTTCAAGTCTAATTCTAATTTCTAAATAAAATTTAAAACGCATCAAACTCGATAATAATAATTCAAAATTTACTATAAATTACTACAAAAATATAATAAAAATCTATAAACATTTAACATTATCAATATTTTATACATACATACACATGTATACACACACACACATATATATATATATATATGAATAATATGCAAGTTTGAAAAATCAACTTTTTTTTAAACAAAAGGGCTTAATCGTTTTATAAAGAGCTAAACTTTTAATAGACGCTTGTACAAAAAAATTAAATCGTTTAAAGCTTAGGCTTTTTCTGAAAGCTGAAAAGAATTTACAGAAAACATGCAAAATATATACATACATATAATATATATGAAACAAATATATAAATTTAATTGAAGAAAATTTTGAATATGCATTTTTAAACTGTTTTATTGTATATCAATGTACTCGAAGTAATAGTTTAAATTTCTTCAGGCTGTATCAGTATCAGTTTTTCTGTGTCCATCAAATATCGAAATTTATCAAGGCAATTTCTTGATCGCATGTTAAAGTATTTTAAATAATAGCGAAATGTTAAAAATTCATGATCGAATGATATTATTTGAATTCGTGTCTGTTGAATGTAAATTTATCTTCAAGAACAACGAGAAAATAGCGATTCGCATTTCTAAATTTGTGGACTGTACACAAGTATGTGTGTCATACAGAAACGAGCACGTTCGCAAATTATCTTTTGAAATAACTTACTGGAGAGATAGAGAGGCGCAGAGTTTCTTTCGGTGCCTGTTCGCCTCATACTTTAGTACTACACTATAATGTAACGCGACAGATAATAATGTAACGACATGAGATTCATCGCGTGACATCTCCGTGAAATTTATGCGGTCGTCACGTTCCACTTGCATCTTGACATGCATCTCGTATCTCCAATTTGTTACATCATCGCGTTCTTGTCTTCTTTTATATGCAGTTCGTATTTTATATGCATTTAATATTTTATAAAGATCATTATACTACAAGATAATTCCAAATATTAAAATTCGATTGTCTTTTTCGCGCATGGAATGGTACATTACGATTTCTGCATGTGCGCATTACGCATCAATGCATGTTTCACATGTCTATAGATCGGATTTTGATAGTGGATTATGCAATATAAGCTCTGTGATTATTAAAGCCAGATGAATAATAATTGTTAAGGATTATAGTGAAACAATCGTGATGCACACAACAATGGAAACATAATGACTAATTATTGCTTGCATTTCAACTCGTATAGCATAAATTGAATATCCTTCTCAATATATTCGCAGCATTTTCATATAAAATATAATGCTAAAGTTGACCTTTTCATATTTCCGCCGTTACATCCAAATTTGATAGTTTCTGATAAACTTTCTTGTTTTTACAACTGCTGTCTCAGTAGTCATTAGCTATTCCATCAGAATGGCCAAGGTAGAAATATTCCACATGTTAATATGCAAATTTACGAAATGCACAGGAAGTACAAAGGTCACATTAGGTTAAATTCAAAATCGAGGAAATTTTTTTGTTACATCCGACATAAATTTAAATTTTTTATCGGTAAAAAATCAACTTTCTATCTCGAAGTTGATGAAAGAATCCAGTATGACGATGATAATTTACGCAAATCCACATATTTCATTACATTTGAATCCACATCTTTCACGTAATATATATTTGAATTTCCTTATACACATGTTTACATATGTATGTATATATTTATAAGAGAACGTATATACATATAATGCATATACCAAGAAAAATTTAAATTTATTATTTTTTTTAATATAAGTTAATATTAATTTTGTCGATTTGTATGCTATCGTTTTTTCGGACTTATATAGTCGTTGTATTTCGTCTTTCAAATAAGCTTACATTGAAAATGTATTCCTAATTTTGAATTAACTACAGCTCGCAATTTTTTATGTAAGCTAGATAAACCACTGTACAAAGTTTTTAAAACTAAATTAAAGTTAATTTACGTCATGAAGTTCACCTGTAATCAGGTATGCAAAGGTCTTTCGAGTTTTCAAGCCGCATTTTCAATTTATGATCTCGCGAAAAATCGCTTAAGATCAGAATCGAAGTAATTGAAGATATATTCATACTAACGAAAATTTAGTTAATCGCTTCAGTTATAGTCACAGTTAAGGTTTCATAGAATAAAAAATGTATTAAGCTATATTAAACATTTGTTTATGATTATTATTCATCATTAATCAATTCTTTTTTGGTTTTTTTTTTTTACATATTTTATGTGATCAAATGATTGCAAATTTATCTCGATATTAAAATAAAAATAATTTAAATAATTATTCTCATCGATACAACGCGCAACAGCAATTGTAATATATACAATATATTCAAATTACGCATAATTAAATTTTTTATTTTATTTATTTTTTATTTTTTGTTTCAATAGAATCTTTAATAGGAAACAATTACGTGAATCCTGTAGGAAGATTTTTTCTGTAGAGAGATAAAAAACTTTTATGAAAATAATAAATAACAATTTTTATTCTCATATAAATA